AGTGCTGTTTTTAGATTGTAATAAAACCTCTCCCACCCTCAGGAAGTGTAGACTTAGCTGGCTTGACCGAAAGGAGTTCAGTGACTGGATGTAGTGGACTGGGGGGGTGAATGTGGGAAGCAGAGAGAACAGGTGAGTGGAGGTGATGCTGAAAAGAATGATACTGGGTTGAGAGGGTCGGTCCAGATCAATCTGTGTGTTCAGCCAGGTAAAGGAACTAGCGCATCCCCTGAAGACATGGAAGAGGTCTGAGCTGCGGGGTGACATGTCCAAATGTTCCCTAAAGTCTGTCCCTTCTTCATGAGGTCTTTCCTCAGTCTCTTTTATAGGCAGCTGATCATCTTTTTCTGTTAGGCCTGAGAGATGCATTGCTTTCATTGATCACCTCCAGCTTCCAACGTTAAACAGGGTTTTGAATCCCCAGTATCATGCAGAGCCCACAGTAACCTGCCTTTTGCTCTTCAGTCTCTGGGCTGAAATTTACACAAGCCAGCATGTGACACGATTCTCCACCAATGCTAAAGCTTCCATGAATCTTGGCTGGTGAACCCAACCCATTTATTCTTTGTTTTTAGATTCTTCTCCCCAAAGTTCTGGCCATTCATTGAATGAAACTTGGGTTTCCTCTTTTAGATCATAATTAAAATTCCCATTGAGGATTTTGCTGTGTCCTTAAAATGAGAGATTTGGGAGTACTTCCAGAGATTGGTAAAAAGGAAAGAAAAGGCAGATAGTGATGTATCCCTTTCTTCCAGAGTGTAGAGTTTGGTGGTTGGCCTGAAGAGAGAGTAGTGGGTTGTAGCCTAACATATAAAGAGTAACATGGGTTTCTTTTGAGTAACTCTCCCTGCTCCCCGCCCATTTTTTTTTTTTTTGGGTGGACCATGGGCACTTCCCTGGTAGCTCAGATGGTAAAGAATCTGCCTGTGGTGCAGGAGATCTGGGTTCGATTCCTGGGTCAGGAAAATCCCCTGGATAAGGGAATTGCAACCCATTCCAGTATTCTTGCCTGGAGAATCCCATGGACAAAGAAGCCTGGCAGGCTTCTTTGCAGGAGTCGCAAAGAGTCGGACACGACTGAGCGACTAACACTTACTAACTTAACGACAACATCACAGATAAGTACTTTTTCTTGTGAGAAGGAAAAGCCTATATTACTGAGCATGTTCTTTTACTAATAGAGGTAAGAGGAAGTGTTTCCATGATTACTTCACAGTGATGATCATGGACAAATTTAGCCAGTGTTTGATATCTGTGACACATGGCAAATGCTTAGTTAATATTCAGGAGGGAAACGAACAAAGGATTTCATGGCAGATACCTTCCTACCAGGGGATTTGGCAGTAGGCCACCAGAACTGTCTTGGCTCCCTGTCTGCCAAAGACCCAGGTTCTTGGGAGGGTTCAGAGTTTGGCGAGGAGTAAGGCAGCATGCAGACGCACAGTGTGGTGGATTCTGCCTCAGGTGTTTAGGGTCACATGTGCGTAGTGGAGCAGTGCTTTTTTCCAACAAAGACGGTGTCTGTGCTCTCTGGGGAGGGCAGGGGCATGCAAGCCCTGTTTCCAAGAGTAGGTCATGGTCATTGCCCCACCTCGTTCCTGCTTAGCAAGTACCACCTCCTGTATAGTCTATCTGTCAGTCTTCTACGAAGCACGCAGCACAGTCACATAAATATTTTCTTTCTTTCTTGGTCTCATGCACCCACACACTTTCTTTCTCTTTCTTACATGAAGGTTCCATGTTGACTCTTCACTGAATCATCTCATTTCATCCTCACAGTAAGTTCATGAGAGATCTTGTTAACAATCCCCATTCCCCTAATATGAACACTGACTCTAAAAGAGCAGAGATGCTTTAGCCGAGATCACCTAGCCAGTGTGTGACTGAGCCCAGATTTGAACCCACCCTGTTTGCCCCAGTTGCTTTAGCTCTGCACTCTACCCTGTGTCAGTCAGAGGAGAAGGCCAACCAGCCAGGCAAAAGGAAGAAGGAAGCTGACAGCGACTGATACCTTGAGTCTGTGTGGCAGATTCTAAGTTCTTTAAAGAGTGAAAGTTCTTTGTCTGTCTTCTCACCATGTGATTAGTGGGCTGGGTGGACAATCTCTAGGGCTGCCTTGACTTTCGCTTATCCTGCTAGAGACTCCTTCCATTTTCCAGAAATGTTCAGGAAAGACTAAAAAGTTCGAGGAGAGAGGGAGGTCGTTGAGTACCTCCCTTGAGTTCACTCCTAGTCATGGGAGGGAGCCAGAGCAAATGACAAAACATTATTGCTCTGGCTAATGATTATGTGGGCTTATTCAGTGGCTCAGTGGTAAAGGATCTGCCTGCAATGCAGGAGTCACAGAAAACACAGGTTCAGTCTCTGGGTTGGGAAGATCCTCTGGAGGAGGGCATAGCAACCCACTCCAGTATTCTTACCTGGAGAATCCCATGAACAGAGGAGCCTGGAGGGCTATAGTCCATGGGGTCACATAGAGTCAGACACAAATGGAACGCCTTAGTATGCACGCAGGCAATGATTATGTGCATTGCATCCTTTTCTATAAGACCATTGATATCTAATTGTTTAAGTAGAGACGAAGGAGAACTGAAGGAAGCCATTGTATCTTAGGAGTGGTGGTGACCAGATCTTTATCGTAAATTGACTCTGCCATCTAACATCACTGTTTCACAAAGTAGAGATATAGGGGACATCCATTAAAAATGCAGAGATGGAAAGTTTTCCAAATGGAGAGCTGCTGGGAGCCTGGCAGCCGCTCCGCACGCAGGGCACTCTTGTCCCCTCTGGAGGAGCGCTGGGTAGCACGGTGAGCATGCACAGCCCATGGGCCTCTTCGGCACAGCCGCCTGGCGTGTGCTGTTCCCTCACATGGACAGCTGAGCCCAGCTCCCTTTGGTGATACAGTCCAGATTGCTCAGCATAGTTTTGTCCTGATGCAGTCAAGGGAAATTAGTTAACTGCAAGCTTGGATGATGCCACTAACAAGCTGGCGGGGGTTCAGAAGAGCAGATTCCTCCATTGTGGCCACGACTTGTACAGTGACAGTGAGCATGGTTTTGATTACCACACATGTTCTTCCTTGATGAGGGCAAGAACTTCTTGGTCTTCTTTACTTGTAAGCCCCCACTGCGGCCCCCCACATATCCAGACCTTTACATACCAAAGCAATTTCAGGTATTTTGCCTTGTTGGATCTTCACAGGGGCCTGTGGAGGGTTAACAGAAGGTGAATTAGCACGTTATACATAAGACTCTGGGATCAGAGATGTTTAGTGATTTCCCCAAGACCACACAGGTAGTGTATGACTGAATCAGGACTTGGACCCAAGAGTTCTGACTCATGCCTCAGATTATGTAACACTAAGAAATCAATATTGTGAATGTGTTTCAGGCAAAATATACTTAAAGTTTTTAAATTTACCTGGAGAATATAGTTGAAAAGTTTTGGACTGTAAGTTATGGAACAATGAAATGAATGAATGAAAATTGTTTTGCTATATAGACATCTCATAACCTCATGGAAAAGGCCTCAAGGAGGGCAACTGCAGTTTGGTACAGTGGTTCAACAGTGTCATCAAGGACCCACACTGGATCTATCTTCCTGCTTTGTCTTCCTTGGGCCTTGCTATCCATTTGTAACCTTGTCAACTTTTGCAATCTCATGGTTGCAAAATAGCTGCTACAGCTCCACAGTAGCATCCCAAGAGGGAAAGAAAGCAGTGGATATAGTATTCTGAGTTTTCCTTTAATGGAAAGAAAAAAAGCTTATGGAAACTGCTCAGAAAACTTACCTCTTGTGTTTTGTTGGCTAAGAATGGATTACTTGGCCACTCCCAGTTGCAAGACATGTTATGAAGTCCTGTATCCAACAGGGGGGGGGGGGTCCAAATACCTGTGATTGACTAAGAATAACTATGCTTCAAAAATAAAAGGAATTAAGCTTTAGGAATGGACATAGCATCACCTTAGACCAAATCAATCAACAGAGGCCACTTCCCAGAGGAAGTAAGAGTGAGGTGGCCCAGAGGATGAATAGGCACCATTTGGGAGATTCCAAAGGAGAACTTCAGGCTGGAGGCCCAGTGGTGGAAGGTATGAAGGTAAAGATGGGTCATCTCGGAGGACAGGAAGGGAATTAGGGCTGACCAGTGCTGAGTTGATGGGGAGGGCTAATAGGTGAAGATGATAGAAAGGTTAATGGGCCCAAGTGTCCAGAGCCCTGCCAAGCCCTAGCAATGTTCCTCTGCAGAGCAATGGGGAGCTCTGAATGGCATTGACAAGAGAGGGCATGATTAGATTTGTGTTTTGAAATGTTCCAGTTTAGCTACAGTGCAGAGTACCATGCTTGATGAGAAAAATTAAAATAAGAACACTCAAATGTTCTCTTCCTTGTTGTGAGTTTTGAACAAAAACAAAGCTGTATTGTCTGGGTATTCTGGAATCAAAAATGATTCCTGGCATTGGCCTATGTGGATAGTGATGTCACTACACGTGTGTACTGCTTTGACCAATACCACAAAGCCTCCTATAGGGGAACATCAAGATCTCTGCTTTCCAACCTTCCGTCCTCACTCATATGTGACCTGCACATGGGTTCCTTGTCTCCATGAAACCAAAGGCAGGGGCTAGAGTCTTGTCCACCCAAGTTTGGAACACTCTTTAGATCTCAGCTGGACCACATGCTGTCAGCCATACCCCGGGAACCCCTGTGTTTGGAGTCACCCTTGAAGGATTATCAGTTAACTGTGCACACTCCGGTCACTGCCATTCACCGACATGCGCTCAATAAGTTTCCTGCTCAAACAAGAAATGAATAAAGTTTGTCTTTGCACTTAAACACAATTTTTTAAATAGGGCCACCAATTGAGAAAGTCACCTAACAGAAATGAATTGAGCGTGTGATCATGCTGCTTTTTTGTTTGTATATGTTATCTTTAAATTATTGTGTACCGTTCAAATGCTTAATTGTTTACTCTTGACTGTTTCTTCCCTTTGCAGTATAATGAGGAGCTTCACTACGTGGAACCTTGCCTGAATGGAACGTTGGTGCAAGCCGACAGGACAAACAAAGAGGTAAGGCCTGCTGCTGGGCAGGTGCCTGGCACACCCACCTCCCTCACAGTGATCACTTACAATTCTGTCCTAGTTTTTAGAAACTCATCAAATGTACTGCCTTTTCACTGAGGGTCTTGGAACCCAAGTGTATAGAACATTTATGAAGAGACCTAAATAAAATCATGGCAGTGAAATATATTGAGTTTAGATGCTCACTGGTTATGAAACATTCACATTGATTTTCTTTTTCTTTTGCTCTAAGCACACCCTTTGTTGTACTTTTCACCCATATTGACACCATTGAAAGCATACAGCTCTTGATGAGATTTCAAAGAAAATTGAACCCACTTGCTATATCTCTTCTTGCACTTAGTAAAAGTGAGTAAGTAACTGTTGGGAAATATTGGGGTTCAGTTCAGTTCAGTTCAGTTCAGTTGCTCAGTTGTGTCCAACCCTGCGACCCCATGGACTGCAGCACGCCAGGCCTCTCTGTCCATCACCAACTCCCGGAGTTTACCCAAACTCATGTCCATTGAGTTGGTGATGCCATCCAACCATCTCATCCTCTGTCATCCCCTTCTTCTCCCGCCTTCAATCTTTCCCAGCATCAGAGTCTTTTCAAATGAGTCAGCTCTTCGCATCAGGTGGCCAAAGTATTGGAGTTTCAGCTTCAACATCAGTCCTTCCAATGAACACCCAGGACTGATCTCCTTTAGGATTGACTGGTTTGATCTCCTTGAAGTCCAAGGGACTCTCAAGAGTCTTCTCCAACACCACAGTTCAAAAGTATCAATTCTTGGGCGCTCAGCTTTCTTTATGGTCCAACTCTTACATCCATACATGACTACTGGAAAAACCATAGCCTTGACTAGATGGACCTTTATTGGCAAATTAATGTCTCTGCTTTTTAATATGCTGTCTAGGTTGGTCATAACTTTCCTTCCAAGGAGTAAGCGTCTTTTAATTCCATGGCTGTAGTCACCATCTGCAGTGATTTTGGAGCCCAAGAAAATAAAGTCAGCCACTGTTTCCACTTTTTCCGCATCTATTTGCCATGAAGTGATGGGACTGCATGTCATGATCTTAGTTTTTTGAATGTTGAGCTTTAAGCCAACTTTTTCACACTCCTCTTTCACTTTCATCAAGAGGCTCTTTAAGTCTTATTCACTTTCTGTCATGAGGGTGGTGTCATCTGCATATCTGAGGTTATTGATATTTCTCCCGGCAATCTTGATTCCAATTTGTGCTTCATCCAGCCTGGCATCTCTCACGATGTACTCTGCATATAAGTTAAATAAGCAGGGTGACAATATACAGCCTTGACGTACTCCTTTTCCTATTTGCAACCAGTCTGTTGTTCCTTGTCCAGTTCTAACTGTTGCTTCCTAATATTGGATTGGGGTAACTTCATGGATTAAAAGGTAAGCTTTACAAGGATAGGGAGTATGTTACTCTTGACTGTATCCTTAATGCTCTGGGCATTGCCTGCTCCATAAATATATTGCCTGAAACAAAATAAAGGTATGTTAATGGAATAAAAGTTTCTTTTACAATTGGAGCATTCCTGGAAAATTTCCAGGATACATTTCTATAAAATTCTGTTTTCCTTTTGCCACCTTTAAATATGTCAGTGCCACCATCACAGCCATCACCAGTAACCTCTACAGGGCCAGGTGGCAATTTAGGTTGAAAGTGTAGCTGTGGCTGCAACAATATCATACCTCCTGGGCCTCAACACTGCCGCCACTCACTTTATTTGGTTGTACCTGCCATGTGGTTACAATAAAGTAATGCTCCTTCCCTAGAGAGTAGGCGTGGCTTAGGCAATGGCCAGGGTAGCCCTCTGTGACGTTCTGTGCATGTGCTGTAGGAAGAACCACTGGCCCAGTTGGGGAGCGAGTGCTATTGGTGCTATGCTAGATGCAGGGAGTAGAAGTGTGGGCATCTCTGAGGGAGTGAGCCTAGAGGATTGGGAGAAATTCATTACAACTGGAACACAGAGTGAGAAGGAGAAGTTATGCCAGAGTTAATATCCAACCTTCAGTCTGAGGGAGAAGCACACTATAATAAATTTGCTTTTAGGAGAGAGAAGCAAGTACCTTGTAGTTCAAAGAACAAGTGTATCCAGGGACTGTTTGTTTATGGTTATTTTTTAGGGTAAGATAGGAAAAAATAAACTTACAGCCAAATTTCTCTAGAGACTTTCTCTTTTGTTGGCCATTGCCTGGGTCTAGAGTTCACCCCCTTGCCAATTTTTCTAGCATTGGAATATCTTCCAGAGTCTTAAGAAGGTGTCCAGTGATGGTGCTTGCAACAATAAATAGCAAAGACGCTTAAAATGCTTCCTTCAAGTGGATTCCTAGATGTGCACAGGCAGTGTGATATTTGGGGATATGAAGTCTTAGAATGAAAAGTTATTAGAGAATGTGAGAAAAGAACTTCATTTAAAATTGCCTTTGAACTTCTGAATGTTGACACTCGAAGTAGTTTTTATTAAAATTAACCCAGGCTTTTGATTCAGCCAGTATAGAGTAGCCATATTTTAATCAGCTCCCTCCCCTTAAAACAGAAAAACTGTGGATATAACACCACCAGTGAGTATAGGAAGACATGCAAGGTGGAAAAAAAGTGAGCTACCGAAACTTAAAGACTTGGAGGCAAGTTCCCTCGGTTTTTTATTGATTCCCAGGTATCCCAAATAGAGTGCTCCAGAAGTTTCCTGCCTGTGCCAAAAACAGGTACAGACAAAAATCCCACAAACAGTAGCCAGTATTAACAAGAATCTGATGTTGAAATTTAAATTAAAAAAATAATTTTTAAAAAATTGAAATGTTTCAAAAGCAGTTAGGAACTTTCTTGAAATAAATGCAAACAATATAAAATCTCAACAAAGAAATATAAATGATAAAAAAGAGCCAAATGGAAATTATAGAACTGAAAAATACAGTCACCAAAATAAAAAGCTCACTGGATTAGCTCAACTGGAGATGACAGAAGACAGAATCAGTAAACTTCAGGACAGATCAATAGAAATTATCCAGCCTGTGCAACAGAGAGAAAACAGATTGGAATGAAATGACAAGAGTCTAAGGGACGCGTGAGACAGCAGAGGGCTAGAATTTATGTCATAAACATCTCAGGAGATGAGAGAGTGGGACTAGATAGATATTTTAAAACATATTGGCTGAAAACTTCCCCAAATTAGTGCATGTTCAAGAGGCTGAGCAAATTACAAGTTGGATGAATCCAAGTAAATTCATGAGAAGACAGTATAATTAAATATAATAGTGTGTGTGTGTGTGTGTGTGTGTGTGTGTGTGAAGTCACCTCAGTTTAGTTCAGTTCAGCTGCTCAGTTGTGTCTGACTCTTTGCGACCCCATAGACTGCAGCACACCAGGCTTCCCTGTCCATCACCAACTCCTGGAGCTTATTCAAACTCATGTCCATCGCATAGATGATGCCATCCAACCATCTCATCCTCTGTCGTCTCCTTCTCCTCCCACCTTCAATCTTTCTCAGCATCAGGATCTTTTCCAATGAGTTGGTTCTTCGTATCAGGTGGTGAATGTATTGGAGTTTCAGCTTCAACATCAGTCCTTCCAATTAATATTCAGGACTGATTTCCATGTATTTAATTAATTGTTAATTAAAGTATATCAAACATATAGTTAAGATCCGTTCCTTCACAAGAGTTATTTACATTTTGATAAGTAGCTCTTCAAGCCTCAAGAGATTCATGACACTTGGAAATGAGTGTATAACAGTATAAATTTCACAGACAGGTATTGGGAGAAAATAAGGAGATAGCTCTACTTCCTCAGTTGTTGCCATTTTGCCTGCTGCCTACTTACAATACCCGTTCCTCTCATCAGGTGGCCAAAGTATTAGAGATTCAGCTTCAGCATCAGTCCTTCCAGTGAACATTCAGAACTGATTTCCTTTAGGATGAACTGGTTGAATCTCCTTGCTGTCCAAGTGACTCTCAGGAGTCTTCAACACCACAGTTCAAAAGCATCAATTCTTTAGTGCTCAGTTTTCTTTATGGTCCAACTCTCACATCCATACATGACTACCGGAAAAATCATAGTCTTAACTAGATGGACCTTTGTTGGCAAAGTAATGTCTCTGCTTCTTAATATGCTCTCTACATTAAATCATAACTTTTCTTTCAAGGAGCAATTTTAATTTCATGGCTGTAGTCACCATCTGCAGTGATTTTGGAGCCCAAAAATATAAAGTCTCTCACTGTTTCCATTGTTTCCCCATCTATTTGCCATGAAGTGATGGGACTGGATGCCATAATCTTAGTTTTCTGAATGTTGAGTTTTAAGCCAACTTTTTCACTCTCCTCTTTCACTTTCATTAAGAGGCTCTTTAGTTCTTCTTCGCTTTTTGCCATAAGGATGGTGTCATCTGCATATCTGAGGTTATTGATATTTCTCCCAACAGTCTTGATTCCAGCTTGTGCTTCATCGAGCTCAGAATTTCTCATGATGTACTCTGCATATAAGTTAAATAAGCAGGGTGACAATATACAGCCTTGATGTACTCCTTTCCTGATTTGGAACCAGTCTGTTGTTCCATGTCCAGTTCTAACTGTTGCTTCCTGACCTGTATGCAGATTTCTCAGGAGGCAGGTCAGGTGGTCTGGTATTCCCATCTCTTGAAGAATTTTCCAGTTTGTGGTGATCCACACAGTCAAAGGCTTTGGCATAGTCAATAAAGCAGAAGTAGATGTTTTCCTCTCAAGTTGCCTCAGTCACGTCTAACTCTTTGTGACCCTGTGGACTGTAGCCCACCAGGTTCCACTGTCCATGGAATTTTTCAGGCAAAAATACTGAAGGGTATTTCCATTTCTTTCTCCAGGAGATCTTCCCCACCCAGGGATCCTACATAAGGGAAAAAAAGTGAAATCTGCCAGAGAGAAAGGACATATTATTTAAATTAACCAATTTGAATAACAGCAGATTTTTCATAACAGACCAGAGGGAATTACCATAGCATTTTTCAAATAGTG